ATCTTGAAAAAAAAAAAAGGAAGAAAATGAGTTTCCAAATATTTTCATATGCTGTACCATCATTTGGATATTTTATCACTTATGTTGTATTTCTTTATTCATTAATTTATTCAACAAATATTGATAGAGTATATACAATGTGCCAGGTTCTGTTGTAGGAACTGGGAAAATCCCGGTGAAAATAAAACAAATACAAATTTCTGCTCGCAGGAGGAGACTTCTGGAGGTGGTAGAGAGGCAATGGAAAATAGACATTTAAGAATGCAAACCAGCATAAGATAGACAGTGGTAAGTACTGTGGAGAAAGATACAGCTGAGAAAGAGGATTAGAGTTCTTTTGGGGTATAGGAGTGAGGCAATGGGGTTTCAGTTTTTGATACAGTGGGTGGGAGAGGAATGTGGTAAAAGTCTAAAGAAGGTGAAGAAGTGAATGAAATGGGTGTCTGGTGGCAAGTTTCTAGGCAGAGGAGCACCTCTGCATAGGCCCTGCAATAAGAGTATGCTTGGTGTACTCTAGCCAAAGTGAGAGGGGATGGGGATGGAGCAGAGGGGATGGGGATGTATGCATAGGGAGACACAGGGGAAGTAAACTTAGGGTATTATTTCATGTAGGGGCTTAAGACATGTGTGAAGAACTTTGCTTGTAATTGGAGTGAGGTGGGAAGTCATTAGAGGTTTTCATCTCGGTCTCCGTCTATTTGCTATATAGGGAGACTGTAATAGGGTCAAGGTGTTTATAGGAGAATCAGAAGTCTAGTGGGATAATCTGGGTAAGAGATGACAGTGGTTTGAATGTGGTGTTAGCTCTATTGCTGGTGGTTAGTGGTCAGGTTTCCATCATTGTTAGAACGTATGGGATCTGCTGATGGATGGGATGTGGATTAAGGTTGACTCCAAGGTTTTTGGCCTGAGCAACGGGAAGCTTGGAGTTATTATCTAAGAGGTAGAGGAGCAGGATTGTATAGATTAGGTGTGTTTCTCAATTGGGTACAAATCTCATGTGATTGTATTCAGGTAGAGTGAAACTTTAGAGGTAAAGGAAAGTATAGAAATAAACTTTAAGTAGGTAATGCAATAAGAGTGACATTGAGGTAGGGGGCTATATTTCACTTTATTTCCATTAAATGGATTACCGTTAAATCTGATGACACTTAGGATCGTTTTTATTTTTTATTGTTTTTGAGATGGAGTCTCGCTCTGTTGCCCAGGCTGGAGTGCAGTGGTGTGATCTCGGCTCACTGCAACCTCTGCCTTCCCGGGTTCAAGAGATTCTCCTGCGTCAGCCTGCTGAGTAGCTGGGATTGTAGGTGCCCAGCTTATTTTTGTATTTTTAGTAGAGATGGGGTTTCCATGTTGGCCAGGATAGTCTTGAACTCCTGACCTCAGGTGATCTGCCCACCTTGGCTTCTTAAATGGTGGGATTATAGGCATGAGCCACCACACCTGGCCAAACCTTAGGATCTTTAATCTCTTTCTGATCGGGGTTGAACAAAGTTATAAAATACATGAATAAAGAGCTATGCAGGCAAAACCCAGTCATAGGCACCATCTAGCTTCATTATGAATTAGGGCAATCAAACTTTTATTTTTGCAAAATTATAATTTTTAAAATCATAGCTACTTTTGTACTCAGTTGTGATTGAGTATTATATACAATGGATATTTGGTTCTAGGAAACAGAACTGCCGATAAAAAGAATGTGTACATGCTTGTTGAGCTGCTTAATAAATAACTATTTGATGATGATTCTGCAGTATGTTTAAAGGGCAATCCTTCTTCTGTTGCTTTAGAGAGTTCATTTGGCATTCTAAAAATGGACGTAATTTCAAGGGGTGTCCAAAATGTATCAATTAGCCTGACAGCTAGGTCTTTTTAACAGATCTATAAATTTCCAATTTCCTTTGCCCTCTTAACCATGGTAAATCATCCTGAACAAGATCATTCTTTTGAACAACAGCCTCCTTATTAGCTGAGATCAACTGAGATTAGAAAATGAAAAATATGCTAGATGCTAAGAACTCTTTATGAAACCACATTTATAGGATGAGTACTGAATGAAGATTAATGTGTTATTTTCAGCTTCTAAATCACTGATTTAAAAATTTATTTTCCACATCCCATGGCTGGATTAAACACTAATATATATTTGGTTTGTTTACTTGCTTGCAAGTATTATCTTTTCCTCTTTGAGCTTATGTATTAGTGAAAAGGAATGATTTTTAATTTAAATGTATCTTGCTTTGCGCACCACATGTGTTTCTGAAAGTACTATACATTAAATTGGTTAAATTGATTATTTTTTTCCCATTGAATTACAAATTAATGAATAGCTTCTTTGTTTTAATGTCTGACTGATTTTCATTTGCTTTTGGAATATAATACAGGATCCTTAGCACATCATGTGGACCTTATGTGATCTGGACTCTGTCTACCTTTGCAGGCAACCTTACCACACTCTCCTCTTCTGTCTCCAAGCTCCAGCGACACTGGCCTTTTCTCAACCCCTAGTACTCAGACTTAAGATTTTTGCACGTATTGTTTAAAATTTTAATTCTCCCACATCCCTTGCTTTGTTTTTTAAAATATAGTACACATAGTACATTACTTTCTTAATTGTTCATCTTTCTTTAGCTAGAAAGGAGGCTGCAAAAATGAATGTATTTTTGTCTTTTTTTCACTACTGAATCTCTACATCTAAAAGTGATGAATAAACAAATAAATAAATGGACAAATGAGTAAGGAATTCCTTATAATGGAATACAAGTTTCCCTTCTCTAAAAGATAATGCCTCATAATAACCTCTTCACCCCACATAATTTAATTAAACAAATACTTAATGAGTTTTTCCTCTGGTCCAAACTGCGCAGAGGGAAATAACATCATGTATAAAGTGAAAAGACCATTTATTTTCAAACAGAAAGATCTCTTCCACTTTTGCTGCCTGTTAAATTTGGTTAAGTATCAATTGAGCCTTGGGTTCTTCATCTGTCAAACAGAAATAGCAATATCTATTTTGCAGGGTTATGTAAGGATTTTGATAAGCATATATTTATTGATAAGCCTGACACATAGTCAGTGCTCAAAAGATGGTGGCTGTTATTACTGTCACTGGAAGATAAGCTCTTAGAAAGCAGATTATACTTGCATTTCCTGTGCCTTACTCTCATAAAGGCTGGTTAAACAGTCTAGCAATGGGAACCATAGCAGAATATATGCTACTTCTCAATTCTCAAGGGCCTTAAAAATCTAATCAAGAAAATACACTCCAAAACATATTCATGAAATATTTAGATAATAAAGAAAAAAATACTTATAACAATTTATAATACAGATGAAATTAGGGCAAGATGTGTGTTACAGGCCATACATGCTTTACACGGCCAGCTAGGAAATGATAGGAGGTGGTTGGCTGTAGTTACTTCGAAATGATAAGTTCACATGTTTGTGTGTTATAAGATGTATAATGTAAGCCTCCTATGAAAGTGTTCAATTTCTTTGGCAAAATTTTATGCTATCTATGACAATGTTGGATAAGTAGATTAACTTGCTACTTTGTGTTAGTCTGATTGCAGACAAAATTGGGTTATTGATCTTGGGTATCAAGGTAAATTTGTCATAGTAATGGGCGCTTGTTTTTCCTCTTTAGCAGCGTCTAGCTAATGATCACAAATGGGTTCTGATGATGTTGGGTACTGTTGGTCAAACAGGGCTGTATTGTGCAGAGCATATGGCAATGCTTGAAAACTAGAATATAGACAATTCCACTTCTTTTGTAGTGTGCTTTGCCCAGGTTTGAAGTTGTATTGCATCACCCATAAGCATTACAAATGGCTGTCCTTTCATCTTACCAAATTCTTTGCCAGCAGATCTAATAGATGGGACTGAGATGAGATAGCGAGCACGAACAAAAGAATGTTTCTCTGCTCCAGATATTCTCTTTTTTTGTTGTTGTTATTTAGGTATCTGTGTAATGGCATTTGATATAGAGCCAAACACAAGGGCAGCCCCATTTAAGGTTTCCTTTCTTTCTTTCTTTTTTTTTTTTTTGAGAGGGAGTCCCACTTTGTTGTCTGGGCTGGAGTGCCATGCTGCCATCTCCACTCACTGCAGCTTCTGCCTCCTAGGTTCAAGCGATTCATCTGCCTCAGCCTCCTGAGTAGCTGGGATTAAAGGCGTCCACCACCACGCCTGGCTAATCTTTGTATTTTTAGTAGAGATGGGGTTCACCATGTTGGTCTGGCTTGTCTTGAACTCCCGACCTCAGGTGATCTTCCCACCTCAGCCTCCCAAAGTGCTGGGATTACAAGCGTGAGCCACCGTGCCCAGCTTAAGGTTTTTGATACATTTAGGATCACTCAGAAGACTTCAAGTTCCTAGTTATAGAATTGAATTCAACCACCAACACACCCCAAAAGCCCTGACATTAGGAAAAGAGATGGCCACCATCTTTCACCCATTTCAAGTCCTTCAAGGATGATGTAGAATCTACTTGTGCCAACTGGTACCCAGGCACACATCAACCTGCCTAGACTACCAAATGCAGAAATAAGCCCAGTAGGAGCAGCTGCGTCTAGCTTGCCCACACACCTGCATTGTAGTGGCAGGCAAATATCCTGGAAGCCTTTGGGTCCACACACTCATACCCACACGACATACACGTAGAGGAAAAGAGCTGAATATTTATTCTGAAAAGAGGCCTGAATACAGGAACACTATGCTCATGCACACACAAAAGACACGCTTTGCATGTCCAGCCTTGCGCACTTACACTTTCAGGTCCTGCCCCAGACCCCTGGACATCGGTTTGCTTTTCTTTGAGACATTCACAAACTATTCTTCATTCCTGAGAGCGTCCCTAGTGTGGACAAAAGGCAACTTCCCTTAATCTTTGCCTGTCTCTCCAACTTTTCTCTGCTCTGCGCTCGCTCAATTCCCAGGGGGCCGGGCGGCGCCAGCCAGCCGACCTCCCTCCCAGCAGTGCCCTCCCCGCCCGGCCCTTGTGCCGCGGGGCGGGGCCGAGCTGGCGGCCAGGAAATGCCCTGGAGTGTATGTCACCTGCCCACCGCGACTTGTTGATTCCCAGGAGCGCCGCTTTTCCGGTCTGGGTCCCTGAGAGAACTGCCTTGCTCACCTGTGCCCCCGGCGCGGCCCTGGGGAGTTCCCGACAGGCTCCCGGGATCGCTAGCTCTCCAGCTCCACAGCCATGAGCAAGTTGGGCAAATTCTTTAAAGGGGGAGGCTCTTCTAAGAGCCGAGCCGCTCCCAGTCCCCAGGAGGCCCTGGCCCGACTTAGGGAGACTGAGGAGATGCTGGGCAAGAAACAAGAGTACCTGGAAAATCGAATCCAGAGAGAAATCGCCCTGGCCAAGAAGCACGGCAGGCAGAATAAGCGAGGTAGGCTGGGTCTGGCCCGCAGGCAGGAGTCCACCTGCCTCTAGCCCTTCCCTTGGGGACAATCGGCCCACAGCACTGAGGTCCCCAGGTGGCCAGGTTTGCTCCTGTAGCCTTTTCTACAAATTGGTACTGACTTTTAGGGTCGTGACTAGGATGAGCTGAGCTGGACGCTGGTCCTGAGGTCAAAATGTAAAGGGGCTCTAAAAATCTCAGTAATCAAGACGAACAATACTTGAATGCCATACTTAAAGGACTCAGAACTAATGCCAAAAAAAGAAATGATGAACAAAATATCAAAAGTTTAAATAAAGACAGGATTGGTATTATTGATTTTTTTCATTTGCCTTTAGCTCTTACATTGTTCTTCTTTATTTAAAATTATTTTTTTTAAAATGTGATGCTTTGTTCATTGTGGATTTTTTTGATATTTTGAATTTAAAAAATATTGCATTAAAATATGATTTGTCTTGATTACTGAGCTTTTTCTTCACCCCTGTAATTATTGCTCCTGGTTCAGCTCTTTCTCGGCCAGCCCTGCTGACTCCAACACTAAGCACCAAGTTTTTGGTTGTATATTTGTATATTAAATTACGCATTTTAACTTGCACCTAAATCTTCAGCAAAGCATATTCTGTTCTAGTATGCTGTGGTTTACCTTGCTCCTCAGCTGTCAAAAACTTTAGCTGGATGTTCTGCTATTGAGGACTTAAAAAAAAAAGTGGAGGAATTAAATATTAAATTTCCTATCACTGACTTTGGCACAAACAATGGGACTTTGAGTCAGTAATGATTATTGGTGTTCCTGTTGCACCTTGGACACCTTGCTCTTTGCCAGAGTTAATTGGTTCCTTCAGTATAATCTCCTTCTATCGGAATCCTCTAAATAGTAGTCATGGCACATATAAAAACCCAGTGAGAAGCTGAAGTGATTTGCTCTTGTTAACACCAGGTTAATGGCAGACCCAGAAATGGAATTGGCAATATAGGACTCTGCTTACCACTAAACTCAAACATTCGCATCCTCCTGTTGGGCTTCTTTAGTCACAAGCCTTGGGAAGGTTTGGCTCACTCTACAAGATGCTGCCATTGTTTAATGCAGGAAAGGAATGATGTCTCTAGGAGCTGACCTTGAGAACTCTGCCTCTCCCCATAAAGGTATGCCAGCTGCATTTATGGCCCGCTTATTACCAACAATAAAAATCCTGTTTTATTGCGTATAACTTTTGTTCATATTATGGACTGTTTAAGAGGTAAATGCTGATTTCTGCTTTTACTTTGTGTCTGAAAATATCCTGGGAAGTTTCAATGGCAATTTCTAAAGAAAGACCATGTCATTATGGCTTGCTAAAAATGTTGGTCATTTTGTTGCTTGGCCCTTCCTCTTCAGTTTGATACACACTCTGACCTTTGCTTAGTGTCTGTCAGGGGTTTTCTTCCCTTTGCCACCTATTTGGATCTGTATATAGCTTTATCTACCATGGTTGCTCACCAAATATTATGGGTTTCTTTCTTTTTTTTTTTTTTTTTTTTTGTTTTGAGATAGTTTTGCTCTTGTTGCCCAGGCTGGAGTGTAATGATGATATCTCGGTTCACTGCAACCTCTGCCTCCTGGGTTCAAGTGATTCTCCTGCTTCAGCCTCCCAAGTAGCTGGGATTACAGGCATATGCCACCACACCTGGCTAATTTTGTATTTTTAGTAGAGACAGGGTTGGCAGATCCCGTCAGGCTCAGGTGATCTGCCTACCTCGGCTTCCCAAAGTGCTGGGATTACAGGTGTCAGCCACCGCACCCAGCTGATATTGATTTTAAAAATCTGAAAAATTGACTATTTGCTTCTAGGAAGTGGTAAAAATGTAGATATACTTTCAAAGACAGAGTACAAAATAATGTGGGTTTTACCAATTTTTTTTTTCAGAAATATTCTTCAATTGGCAATGCACCAAAAATGGATCTCAATTTGACTTTATGAATAAAGACAAAAAAATTAAAGACAATGCTAATTAAGACTACCAATCTAACTTCCTTAAATCAAGGACATTATAGATGCAAGTATGAAGAGTGAATAAGCTTTTTTTTTTTGAGACAGGGTCTCACTCTGTCCCTCAGGCTGGAGTACAGTGGCACCATCTTGGGTTTTTGCAGTTTCCACTTCCTGTGTTCAAGTGATTCTCCTGCCTCAGCTTCCCAAGTAGCTGGGATTACAGGTGTGAGCCACTGTGCCCAGCCTTAATTTTTAATAGAAAAGTCATTAACTCTGTCCTCAGAAGCTTCACTGGTGTTAGTTTCTAGAAACTCCCAGAGCTTCTAGAATGGCTCTGGGAGTAAGAAGAGGCTGGTTAGCATGAGGTCATCTGTAATCTAAGCTATGGAAAGAATTCAATCTTAGGCCCATGCCTTGGTAACATGCTCAATATCAGCTCCTTCCAAATAAACCAGATAACTTCATATACTTCATAACTTCATAAAGACAGTTACTGTCTTCTATTACCCACCAAGTGATGTAAAATAGTAAAATAAAACCTGATATACTTAATACTAAATGGTCTGTAATTTATATGATAATCAGAGTGGTATAATTTATGTGCAGTTGAAGTTATATTATTAGAGATGGTTGGTCAGCTAACATACTCTCTGAAGGGCAAGCTAGCATTATATCAGAAAAGACCACAGTCCTAAGTCACTTCAGATTCCTCAAAGATCAATTTCTCTATAACAATAGAAGCTTTGACAGCATCCCAAATTTCAAAATGAGTTTTACTGGTAAAATGAATAACTTTTAATTAGAAAAATAAATGTTAAAAATGAGGCAGAGCATGGTGGCTCACGCCTATAATCCCAGCACCCTGGGGGGCTGAGGTGGGTAGATCACTTGAGGTCAGGAGTTCGAGACTGGCTTTACCAACTTGGTGAAACCCTGTACTAATTTTGTACTAAAAGTACTAATTTTGTACAGATGTGGTGGCGCATGCCTGTAATTCCAGTTACTTGGGAGAATGAGACAGAAGAATAGCTTGAACCTGGAAGGTGGAGGTTACAGTGAGCAGAGATCGTGCCATTGTATTCCAGCCTGAGTGACAGAGTAAGACTACATCTCAATCAATCAATCAATGTATGTAAGAAAGGGTGAATTTTTTTTTGTCACTCAGGCTGGATTGCAGTGGTGTGATCAGGGCTCATTGCAGCCTTGACTGTCTGGGCCCAGGTGATCAGCACCACAGGCAGGCATTACCACAGCCAGCTACTTAAATTGAAAATTTTAAATTTATTTTTGTATAGGCGAGGACTCCGTATGTTGCCCAGGCTGGTCTCAAACTCCTGGGCTCAAGCAATTCTCCTGCCTCAGCCTCCCAAAGTGCTGGGAAGAGCCACTGAGCATGGCTTTATTGGTGAAATTATAGGTACTCTAAATATGTGGATTGCTAAAACAATTTAGAATACTTCCAATACCATCCCCCTACCCTCCCATGTATCAACAGGAGGTGAATCTACTAGGTGTATAATTAACACTAGAATGGTGCCTGAAACTAGATTTCAAATCAGTGCAGTGTCTAGTCTTTAGTTTATGTGAGTTTCTGATGGAGTGCACCTCTGACAGGGCACAGCAGGGAGTGTTGCTGTCTTCCTCAGTGAGCCTTTCAATGCAGGGTGAATTGGAGTGCCTGAAAGTACCTAGAGTTGGGACTTCATAGAGCTCATGGGACAGGTTGCCAAATTACTTTTATATGCTTGCCAGTGTATGTTTGTTTAATAATGTATATGCAGAATTTAGTCTGAAACTTGCCCTCATTACAACTCATAGCAAGGTAGTCCAGGAGCAGCTAATTCTCCTCCCTTCAAATTTATCACCGTCATAATCCACCAAGTAGAACCTGAATACACATGACCAAATTGATTTTGCCACAGCTGCTATCCAAGGCTCTATTGATCCAAAAGAATAACAGCTGGAGCTTGACTTATAATTTGGTTGAAAACTTTAAGAGGCCAGAACCTCTTGAATGCAGTTTAGTTAGATTACTATGCTATAACTCTTGCTTTATAGGTAGTAATCTACTTTGTGGAAAAGCAAGCTTTTTGTACATTATTTAATTTTTGGTTCTACTTCATCTGAGCCCTGTGTCTTAAAGTCACCTGGATGCATGGGGCCCACCCCCATTTATTCTGATATAATTGGCTGGAGTGGGGATCAGACATCATTTTTTTTTAAGTGCCCCCACCTGATTCTGACCTGTGGGCCAGAGATAAGGACGGGGAGCTTAAATCCATAGGAATGTTAATGATGTGGAAAATAAGATCTGTTCCTATCCCAGTGCTTCCGGCCTTGGGAGCTAAAGAGTATCAATATCTCAGCGCACTGCAGACCTCTCCTACCACACTGATCTGGCAACATATACCTTACAGGTCACTCACTATTCCACCTTTTTTTTTTGCTTAAATATCCCAATCAATTTTTTTGCACATTTAGTAGAAAGCCTGGGCTTCAAAGCAGACAGCGAAATAAAGTCCTAGGTTTGATTTCCATCCCTGCCTGGCCAGAGCTTAATAGCTCTGTGACCATAGACCAGTGCTTTTGCTTGTCTAATTCTGTTTTCTTATCTGCATAATGGCAACGAGGACATAGCTCTTCGGAGTTGTGGGGATAAATGGCATTATTGGGTGCAGTATTTGGTGCAATGCTTTATAAACATTAGCCTTGGTATAAACTAATTACATTTTAAAAAGCTGTACTTGGCCCAGTTTTGGCCAAATTTTGCCTTCTGGAATACCATCAAATAAATCTACTTCATCTGTCCTATGAAGCCCTTTCACATATTTGACAGCAGCAATCAATTCCTCAACTCTCTGTTTCTCAGTGCTGCCTTTTTCACCCTTCTCAGTGACCCCTCACTGTGCTGAGGTTTTCTCAATAGGGGCAGGTCAGGGGTGAGGCAGGTGAGATCCCCAGGACACAATTGTGTGACCCTGAGAGTGAGTGCCTTTTTATACTTTGTACTCTATATGC